TAAATGGTGTTCGCATGTAACTTGCATTCAGATCAGCAAGAAGGATGATTATCTAATAAGTAAGACTTTCGAGGCTGCGTTCACAGAGGTAAAAGCGTTTTTGGCGTAAGTAAATTTGTGGTTTAACTAGCCAGTCATTCATGCTGTCAAACTTTCTTTTTCATTATAAACCCTTGTCATAAGTTATAGGCCGAAAAATTCTGAAATTTCACTCCACCCAACCACTCCCCCTCCTAAAATGGCGCTCGTTCTCGCAATGAACGGCGGTTGCTTGTGATTTTTTAATGTTTCTTATTAACTTAAAATATTGATTTTTTTTATAGAAAAATGTTTTTTTTAGCATTTAAATGTATGATATAAAAAGGCATTGCTTGATATCAAAAAAGTTTAATCCACGCACAAAATACTATTTAGTGATCATTTATCATGGTTGCTGGGCTACCTACCCGGCTACCTAAACATATTAGTAACTATAATCTATTACACAAAACAATTTAAAAGGAAATATTGTATACAATATAAACAGGTTTTGCAAAAAATCTTTAAAATTATGAATATCAATATCTGCATATATGGTAATAAGCATTTTATAAATATTAATAATATAAATAATAATAATAATAATAATAATAATATAATTTTAGTAACTGTAACTATTTTATTATTATTGAGTAGAGCAAACCCAGGAAAACCATGAAATAAAATCAAACTAAATACTAACAAATAGCGCCTATTTAGAGACAAATTGTCAGTATCAATGAACCAGAACGCAATCAAGATGTCTGTGAAATAGGAATTGTACCATTAAATACTATTACCCGTATTAGCTCCCAATAGTTTAACTTATGACATGCAACAAACTAATTAGGCAAAGCACGGTTTTGATTTTGCCTTTTGGTAGCCTTCTACACCCTAATAGTTACTATTAGACACTGACTACTAGTAATTGTTTCACAGACGGATGAAAATGACTGTATTTCATAGTTTTCCTGCGTTTGCTCTATCATTGGGGTATCTTAAGGTGCTTTCCATTTAGGCAGAACTGGCCGGCCAGTAAACTCTATTTAGAGGTATATAATGCTTTTTGTCAACATTTTTCAGTCATTTCGAGGTTTTCTGTAGAATAATGGACAGAATTTGAAAATTTGAATTTCCTAAGTAAATGGGAATGATATATAAATGACATTTTCTCTGGGTCTGGCCAGCCAGGTCCGACAAATGGAAAGCACACTTAATAACTTTCGTCATAAACATTTTTATTTTTTGTAGAAATTACCCAAAATGCACACATTTATATGCATATATGTAGATATTGTTAACTTTTATTGAATTTGTGGGAAACGCTGTATAATCGATCATCACACTTCAAAATTAAAAATTGATAATCCGCACGAAAGATTAAAAAATAAAAGTATTTTAGAATGATTTGTTTTTGAAAACATACCCTTTCAGTTGCTCTTAGGCCTCGATAGCAAGTTAATTATTCTTTTGAATTTTCTAATTATATCAATGTGTGCATTGCTCACATTCCTACAAATTCAAAAGAATATTTAACACGCTGTCGAGGCCTAAGAGCAACTGAAAAGGTATATTAAACCAATATTATTAAAACTCATAATTTGTAATTTTCAAGTGTTTATAATTAAAGTTGTAATGAATTGTGAATTAAATCATTGTGGTAGTTCCTGTCATGGGTCGCGACGCGGAAGAGGAAGAAGACTGGTAAGAAGGCATAAAATATGTGCTTTTAGGAAAGCTACACATGCGCAGTAGAGATCATGTCATATACATTTTTTTTAGTCAAACCTGAAATCTAAAGGCAGAACCATCCCATGCAACCTGCGTAAGTCATCCTTCTTTTTTTCTCGGAACAAAAAGAAAAGAAAAGCGTAAAAAGAACTTCGTGCTAAAGATTTATTTCTATTTCTATTTTCTACGAACCACAAAATTTACATAATATACATTTCAAGTAAATATGCAAATATTTTACGTATTACAAAATTAATTTCGAGCTTTGGAACCCTTTTAGTTAATGGAGCAATTAAAATGGACTTAATCATTGAACTATTTTCAAATATCTTGTTCTTACTTCATAAGCTTCTRTAGAATTCCAAGTTCCTGAATCTTTCGTTCTCATCAAAACTGAAACTTCCAGAATTATAGAGGTGAAATTTTTATATAACTCAAATAATTGTTTCGAATTCTAAGATATTTACGAGACTTTTAATCTTGCACGAAACCGGTAAATAACAATTCAATGACCTGTAATATCTTTAATGACTTTTAAACTCATTTTCTGTTATATTTTTTTCCATCGCTGACTTTGTGGGATCGAAATCCGTCATGATAAAATATCGTAGACACCACCTTTGAATCTTATTGAGGTAAATGATATTGATGAAAAGTGTGATGAACCTTTAAAATAAGAAGTACTTTTCTATTATATATAAGTTCTGTTTTGCTTTATTCGTCCTTGAGGGAATAGAGAGCAATACAAAARKCGCACAAAAAGTTAATGCAAAAAAATTGCGTCGACATGCTCCTTGCTCGAATCGCTTTCGAACTCAAATACCTGTCGGGACGCAACCCTCGGAAAAAAAATTATTTTGGGAKAAAAWAAAATCACGCAACTTGTACACGTTTATGACTGAAAGGTCATGAAAGTGTCTGTGTTGTCGTGCATCGTYCTTATKTAAGGGCCGATACAGGGCTTWTTGTAAATGTGGTRTCCCGCGGGGTCCCGGGGAAAATTTGGTAGGCATACGGCGAATMGTTGTSACATCAAGTTTTACYATACGTTGTGGTMAYTACTGCAGGCTTSGCATATTKTTATTTTATTTAGGGGAAAGCCACTTCGGGAAACTGACGATCCAAGAAATTTCTAARAAAATAAAGTCAAGTAAAATCATGAATTTTAGATTTTGGGAAGAACTGCCAACCTTAGGGAAAGAAATCAAAAAAGGACTAACCAAAGCGGCAAAAGGCATTGCTAACAGGATTAGCCCRTGGTTAGTTATAGTTTTTACTGGTAAGCAATAAATCACAGTCAAAACACGTATGTTCAKTYAATATGTCCGTTTGTGGTAGAAAATTGATTAAAAGGAAAAGCAGCCGGGATGAAATATGCAAATTAAAAAAATAAAAAATACGAAAAAGAAATATTAATATGACGACGTATCAAGGACTGTTACTACATGATCAATTCTTTTATGTTATAAATAGAGTGAATATTTGTATAGGTAATAGAATGTTTTGTAGTGGTATTTGGGATAAATACCACGCGTGATATTTCAAAATTGTCGAACAAAATTTCACGAGCGAAGCGTTTTTCGGTGAAATAAAGCAMACGGGGATRTCGGGAGAAAATGAWAAAAGGTCCAAAAAATCAYGAGCGAAGCGAGTGCTTAATTTCACCGTAAAACGCACAACAACCCATCCTTAATTGCTTTTATGATATTGAAAGTTTGTTATGATCAAGATTGCACAACCTTGGACCAATCAGATCGTTCCTACTATCTATATTATGATTATAATTCTATTGCAGTGTTGCAGATGTGGAATATCTTCAGTCAGTCTACAAAATCAAAAGATAAGAATGAAAAGTCCAGGAAAAGTCTGARATGGATGATAAAACTGGCTGCCAAAACTAAAAAAATCTTAGCAGACGTCGTCTAATGTTTATAGTACAAACTTT